AGGCCTGCCAAGCAGTACGCCGCCCCACACAAAAGGAGACACTTCCCAACGCAGGCCCCCGGGGGCCCCCGAGGCCCCCCAGGGGCCCCCAGGGGCCCCCAGGGGCCCCCAGGGGCCCCCGGGGGCTCCAGGCGGCCCAGGGGCCCCCACGGGTCGCCCTCAGGGGCCCCAGGGGCCCCCAGGGGTCGCCCTCAGGGGCCCCCAGGGGCTTCCGGGGGCGGCCAGGGCCCCCCAGTGGTCCCCAGAAAGCGCCGGGGGGCCCCCTGAGGCCTCCAGAAAGCGCGGGGGGCCCCCGGGGGGCCCCCAGGGACCCCCCAGGGGCCCCCGCGGGCCGTGGTCTGAAGAGGTGGTTTGTTTGTGTGGTGGGGCTTGCAGGGCTTTGTGTGTGGGGTGGATGGCATGGAGACATTTGCAAACAGCGTTTGTCCTTGGGGACACTTTTGTTTGGAGGGGACAGTTGAGGCCGCGAAGTGTCTCCCCGGGACTTTCAACAACCAAGTGGGGACTCAAAGGGCCGAGGACTGCAAGCCCTGTCCCGCAGGTGACTGCATGCGTTTTCAACTGCATGCGTTTTCAACTGCATGCGTTTTCTTAATTGCATGCGTTTTATCAAGTGCATGCGTTTTCTTAACTGCATGCGTTTTCAAGTGCATGCGTTTTCAAGTGCATGCGTTTTCTTAATTGCATGCGTTTTCAACTGCATGCGTTTTCACGTGCATGCGTTTTCTTAATTGCATGCGTTTTCAACTGCATGCGTTTTCAAGTGCATGCGTTTTCAAGTGCATGCGTTTTCAACTGCATGCGTTTTCTTAATTGCATGCGTTTTCAAGTGCATGCGTTTTCTTAACTGCATGCGTTTTCTCAACTGCATGCGTTTTCAAGTGCATGCGTTTTCTTAATTGCATGCGTTTTCAACTGCATGCATTTTCAAGTGCATGCGCTTTCAAGTGCATGCGTTTTCAAGTGCATGCGTTTTCTCAACTGCATGCGTTTTCAAGTGCATGCGTTTTCTTAATTGCATGCGTTTTCTCAAATGCATGCGTTTTCAAGTGCATGCGTTTTCAATTGCATGCGTTTTCTCAAGTGCATGCGTTTTGTCTCCAAGTGCATGTCTTCGTTGCATGCGTTTTGTCTCCAAATCCATTTCCCAAATGCATGCGTTTTGTCTCCAAATCGATTTCCCAAATGCATGCGTTTGTCTCCAAATATATTTCTCAAATGCATGCGTTTTGTCTCCAAATACATTTTTGAAATAAAAGAGTATTTCTTCTTTGTTTCAAAACGCAGTTCTTAATTCAACAATTAAGTCTTTAAAACAAAACAAATAATAAATTGTTTTGGATTTTAAATTCTTTAAAATTGTTAAAAACTTTTGCTGCCTCGCTGCTGCTGCTGGCCCATCAAGTGTCTCCTTCTGCTGCAGCTGCTGTTGTGTCTCCTTTGCTGCTGCTGCTCTCTCCTCTCGCAGCTGTTGTTGCTGCTGTGTCTCCAAGTCTGCTGCTGCCGCTTGCTGCAGCTTGTGTCTCTGAGTCTCTTCCAGTCCCGCAATTCGCTCTGCTGCTGCTGCTGCTGTGCTGCTGCTGTGCTGCTGCTGCTGCTGCTGTGCTGCTGCTGCTGTGCTGCTGCTGCGTCCGCAGGCTTCTTCTGCCCCGGCGCGTCTGCGGATTCGCAGTCAGCAGCCGCGGCAGCGGCCGCAGCAGCCGCTGCTGCACCGCAGCAGCAGCAGCAGCAGCAGCAGCAGCAGCAGCAGCAGCAGCAGCAGCAGCAAGTGTTTCGCGCGGCCTGCGCAGCCAAGGCCTACTGCCCCGCAGGCTCTGCAAACCCTAAACCCTGCCCCCTAAACCACTACTGTCCCGGGGAGACAGTGGAGCCTCTCGAGTGTCCCCAAAACCACTTTTGTCCAAAGGAGACAGACACCCCACAGGCCTGTCCCCCCGGCTACTTCTGCCCCGGCGGGGCCCACGAGCCCTTCACCTGCCCCCCCGGCAGCAGAGTCCGCCCAAACCCTAAACCCTAAACCCTAAACCCTAAACCCTAAACCCTCTTCGACAAACCCGCCCCTTCGGGGCTCCCCCGCCTCCCAACCAACAAACGCAGACCCTAAACCCTAAACCCTAAACCCTGATTCCCCCTTGGCGCTCCGCGCCGCGCCAAACCCTAAACCCTGCCCCAAGCCCCAAACCCTAAACCCTAAACCCTAAACCCTAGGGGACAGCTGCGCTTGTCTCCGCAGGCCAAGACCTCTTGCGAGGGGACACTTAGTCTCGAGAACTGCTGCGAGTTGTGTCCCCCGGGGACTTATTCGGAGACAGAAGGAGCTGCTTCTTGTTTGCCCTGCAGCGGCGGCTACATCTGCACAGGTCCCCACTACTTGCTGCTGCTGCTGCTGCTGCTGCTGCTGTCTCTGCTGCTGCTGCTGCTGCTGCTGCTGTCTCTGCTGCTGCCTCTGCTGCTGTCTCTGCCTCTGCTGCTGCCTCTGTCTCTGCTGCTGCCTCTGCTGCTGTCTCTGTCTCTGCTGCTGCCTCTGCTGCTGTCTCTGCTGCTGCCTCTGCTGCTGTCTCTGCTGCTGTCTCTGCTGCTGTCTCTGTCTCTGCTGCTGCCTCTTGTGCTCTCTCTGCCTCTGCTGCTGTCTCCGCTGATGCCCTGCTGCTGTCTCTGCTGCTGCTGCTGCTGTCTCCGCTGCTGCCCCCGTTGCCCTCGCGTCGGGGCCCCCGGGGGCCCCGGGTCTCAGGGCCCCGGGGGCCCCCGGGGCCCCCAGGGCCCCAGGAGTGTGGGAAGAGTGCATGCGGGGCTGCATGCAGAGGGGTCCACAAGCCCCAAACCCTCGGGGACTGGCGGCTACATCTGTCCCCCCGGGCGCTACTGTCCCCCCGGGGCAGTGTCTCCTTTGCCCTGCACTCCGGGGACTTTTCGAGAGTCTCCAGGAGCAGCAGCAGCAGCAGACTGCTTGCCCTGTCCCTCCGGCACTTACCAGCGCTTCCTCGGCATGGTGCGGCCCCAGGCATGCATGCACGCATGCATGCACGCATGCATGCATGCATGCGTGCATGCATGCATGCGGGCGTGCATGCATGCATGCATGCGGGCGTGCATGCATGCATGCATGCGGGCGTGCATGCATGCATGCATGCGGGCGTGCATGCATGCATGCATGCGGGGGGGCAGCCCCACGCTGCATGCATGCATGCGCTGCGTGCAACGGCCCCACGCCAGTCTCGCAGAGAGCCGCAGCAAATAGAGACAGCCCTCTTGTTGCCCCTGGGGCTAAACCCCAAACCCTAAACCCTAAACGCTAAACCCTAAACCCTAAACCCTAAACCCTCGCCAGTGCCAAAATGCCTTGAGAGACACAGCGCTGAGCAGCTTTGCTGCTGCTGGCAGCCCACAGTCTGCTGCTGAGGGTTTGGAGACACTTTGGGGGCCGCAGCTGTTGCTGCAGTGCGGAGTCTCCCGCTGCTGCTGCTTGCTGCTGCTTGCTGCTGCTGCAGCAAAGCCCCACTGTCTCCTGTCTCCTTGCATGCGCTGCAGACTTCCTGCGAAAGCTGCGGAGACACTTCTGTGGAGGAACAAAGCCAGGGGGCCTTCAACTGCAAGTGTTTGGGAGAAAACAGAATTTTCCAACACGGAGACAAAACTTGTCCCTGCAAGAGCGGGTCAGCTCCTGTCTCCTCCTGTCTCCTCCTGTACCCTCCTGTCTCCTTCCCGCTGCAGTCTAGTCCCTTGGGGCCCCCTGGGGCCCCCTGGGGCCCCCTGGGGCCCCAGGGGCCCCCTTGGGGCCCCCTGGGATCTACCCATGTGGGGCCTCCGGGGGCCCCCTGGGGCCCCCAGGGGGCCCCAGGGGGTCCTTTGAGTTGCTTAAAGAGGCCTTTAAGGGGCCCTTTTGGGGCCCCTGAGGGGCCCCAAAGGGGCCTTCAGGCCACTGCTTGGGGTTTGGGGGCCCCCAGAGGCTGCCCTTAAAAGGGCGCCCTTTGGGGCTTTGCGGCCTTAAGCGGGCTGCATGCGCGGGGCTGCATGCGCGGGTGCATGCGCGGGGCTGCATGCGCGTGCCGCATGCATGCATGCATGCATGCATGCAGGTTTGTGAGTTTCGACCACCGGCTGGAGGTGGCGGAGACCGAAGAGGGGACTCTGAACTGCCAGCAGGAGACTCTGCGGCGCTGCGGACTTAGCGAAAAAAGAGACTATTTGGGAAGCTGCGTTGCTGCTGCAGACTGTGCTGCTGCATGCGGGCCCTCGGGGGGGACCTTTTTGGAGACAGTGGGCCTTTGCGAGTGCGCGGGGGCCCTCGCGGAGACGCAGCAGTGCAGCAGCAGCTGCAGGGCTTTGCTGCCTGCTGCTGCTCTTCAAGGAGACACTATTAGTCTCTTCGACCCCCTCACTCAAGACTCTTCTCTTCTCCAAATCCCTGACATCGATCTCTCCAACGCTGTCCGCCACTGCAGCATGTTCCGAGTCAGCCAGCCACTCCGCCTGCTGCTGCTGCGCTGCTGCTGCTGCTGCGCTGCTGCTGCTGCTGTGCTGCTGCGCTGCTGCTGCTGCTGCGCTGCTGCTGCTGCTGTGCTGCTGCTGCTGCTGCTGCTGCTGCTGATGGGCTGGAGATTTGCTGTCTCCACTCTGAGGCCGCAGCGCTCTCGCTTGTTAGCTGCTGGGCCTTTAAGTGGGGCCCCTTTTGGGGGCCTCTGGAGATGGCCCAGGGTTTGAATTTGGGGACAAAAGAGTCCCTTGGGGCCCCCGCTGAGGACTTGGCGAGTTTGTGAATGCAAGTGTCTCCTTTTGTCTCCTTCTGTCTCCTTTTGTCTCCTCCAGGAGCTGCTGGTGGACCTGCACATCCCCTGCAGCGTTGTGTTCCAGCGGGCGGACAAGACGGGGCTGCATGCGCTTTATGTACCCCCCAGTTCGCTGTGGGGCCCCACACGCAGCTGGGGGCCCCTTGGCTCTCCCCGCCGGCTGCAGGCCTGGAGCCGGCGGAGTTCGCGGCGAGCAGCAGCAGCAGCAGCAGCAGCAGCAGCAGCAGCAGCGGCGGCAGCAGCAGGGGGTGCGGCGAAGGGGTCCTCTGGGGAGCTGGGGGCGGCTGGCGAGGAGGAGCCGCAGACGGCTCTGGGAGCCCTGCTGCGGCTGCAGCAGCAGCAGCAGCTGCTGCAGCAGCAGCAGCAGCTGCTGCTGCAGCAGCAGCGGCGGCGGCGCGCCGCACAACACTTCAGAGCCACCGCGGGCCAGCCCTCGCTGAAAGAGCTGCAGTCCATGACTGTCGACAATTCCGTCATTTGTCTCATTCAAGGATCTTCAATTGTTTGGGAACTCAAAGACGGAGTTTACCCCATTTACGTCAAGGTGAGCCAGCCCCCTCTGCGCAGCAAGTGCTGCAGCAGCAGCAGCAGCAGCAGCAGCAGCAGCAGCAGCGTCGAGAGCCGCAGCAGCGGCGCCGGCAGCTTCTTCCGCGCTGCTGCAGCAGCTCACGCTGCTGCTGCGGCGGCTGCTGCTGCGGCTGCTGCTGCAGCTTGGCGCTGCGGCACGCTTCTGCTTCTGGACCGAAGCAACTTTGCCGCTGCTGCTGCTGCTGCTGCTGCTGCTGCTGCTGCTGCTGCTGTTCAGGACTCGCTGTTGAATTCGAGTCAAGACTTTGACTGGACGGGGTTCCGGCAGCTGGCAGCAAAGGCAGCAGACACGGGAGTGGGAAATGGAATTGGGCCTTCTTTTTTTATGCACACTTTTGACTCTGAGGGGACTTTTGTTTTTGCGTCTTCGGCGCAAAACTCCAAACTGTCTCTTGTCAAAGTCCTGCCCCCCGGCATGGAGTGTCCCGCAGACACGGGGTGAGTCTGCAGCACTTGTTTTCCCTTTTTCTGCTTTTTTAACACTGCAGCAGCAGCAGCAGCAGCAGCAGCAGCAGCAGCAGCAGCAGTGGGTCAGCTGTGCTGCAGGAAGTGCGCAGCCAGGCCCAGCACTCACTGCTAAATATTCCTAGAGCTGCACTGAAACATTAATTCCCGACCATTTGGCCTTGGGGCTTCGTGGGGCTTGTGAGAAAAAACGCATGCATGCATGCATGCATGCATGCGTGCATGCATGCGTGCATGCATGCATGCATGCATGCATGCATGCGACTGCGCGCAGATACCCCACTCCGATTCGGCTGCGGCAGCTGAGTCTGCTGGCGATCTCGCTGACTACCAGCGAAATAATTCTTGACCCTGACTGGCTGCTGCTGGTGGGGCTGCTGCTGGGGCTGCTGCTGGTGTGCCTTTTGCTGCTGGGGCTGGCTGCGCGTTTCGTGCGGCACCGCTGGCCCGCTGCTGCTGCTGCTGCTGCTGCTGCTGCGGGGGGGGCCCCCGGCTGCGGGGGCCCCCTCTGCCTCAGCAGCTGCAGCGAGCTGCTGCTGCACCGCAGCAAAAGGGCCCGCAGACGCAGAGCAGCAGAACTCTGCAGCAGCTTCCTCAGGCCTTCGGGCCCCACACGCATTTCCCACTTCCGAGTTCGCAGCGAATTGCAAGAAGTCCTTGACAGCACTGTGAGTGGTTTGCACTTGTGTTTTTTTCAAAGTTCCAAAGCAATTTGATCCAGCTTTTATTTATAGTTCTTTAACACCAGAGTTGTTCAATAAAAAAGGTTTGTGAAAAGCCCCAAAGTGGCTTTCGCCGCAGCTAGTGGGCAGCCACCAGAACGCATGCATGCAGCCAGAGCTGCTGCATGCGCTTTTGCTGCTGCTGCAGGAGCAGCAGCAATATGACCCTTTGGCTGACGTCAAGCCCGCGCTGGACCGTCTCCACGTCGAAATAGATATTCAAGATCTCCGCGTTGTGCAGGTGAGGAGAAAAGGGGCAAAAAGGAGACACTTTTAAGGAAAAAAAGTGGAAGAAAAGGGGAAAAAAAAGAAAAACTAGAAGGGCCCCTCTCTGTGGCATTTGTAGAATGATTCTCAGTATGGGGTACTTTCTTGCATGCGCCTGCGCCTCAAAATGCCGCAGTTGCATGCAGCCCCAAGCCCCGAAAGTGGCTGCATGCGTTTCGCGTGAAGGCTGCATGCAGATGCATGCGCTGCATGCGTTTTCGGGCCCTCGGGGCGCATGCAGAGGGCCGTGGGGCCCTTCCTAAAAGCCCCATTCCCGCAAAGCCACTTTTCTGGATTTTGCATGCAGGCAACTCTGGAGAAACTGTGCGACATGCGGGCAACAGTCTCAGCAATCTTAGATCAAGAAATGCAAAGAGAAAAAGAGACATGTGCAGAGGCAGCTGAGCTGGTGAGTGTCTCCAGTCTTTCTGAAAAAAAGTTCAACCTTTGCCAAAGCCCGGGATGGAGTCTGCGGGCAAAGAATCTTGAAGTTTATTTCAAATTCCACAGTGTTGAAGTTTATTTCAAATTCCACACTCTTGAAGTTTATTTCAAATTCCACAGTGTTGAAGTTTATTTCAAATTCCACACTCTTGAAGTTTATTTCAAATTCCACACTCTTGAAGTTTATTTCAAATTCCACACTCTTGAAGTTTATTTCAAATTCCACA